CTGTTGTACACATTCTCAATTGCCAAGTTAGATGAAAACTCATATTCTGGATAATGAACCATGAAGAACCTTCCACAGAAACGGGGGTTGAGGATGGTTGCTAGAACTATTGCTTCAGAGTCAAGAGCCTCTTGTTGGTACTTTTCAAGCCACTCGATCATGACGTCAATGGCCGTCTCAAGGCTGGGATAATCGATAGCTTCGGTCCAATGGCTTTCAAGGTCGGTGATCACACGCTTGTATTCTGCCAGGAGGATACAGCCGGTGGGTCCATTCCCGTCGACTCGAGACATAGCATCAACAAAAGTCTATGTATATAGAATGAAGATCATTAGTCATTATATGTCAGATTGAAAGTTGGGAGATAAAACGTTAAAAAACTTACTTTAAGTACCCTGTTCACCGATTTGACTGTGTGCCACTCAGCAGGGGAGATTGTGACACCCTTGAAAAAGCAGGCCTTGCAATCTTCTGCAATCATTGAGTTGATAACCAGGGTAGAGAGATAAGAGATAAGATAATTACATAAGTAAAGTAGAAATATGAAAGAAATTGAGAACTAACCTCCTGTGTGTCACAAGCAATCTTTTGGCTTTTGTAATGGCTGTTCCAGTGTGTCTTACAAGGCTGTTTGAGCATTTGTCCTTTATAACCCATACGATCTGAGCGTGCCTTGAAATTGCTCCTCCGAGCGGAACTACTAGCAATCTGCCCACTAATAGCATCAACCTACATATACATACAAGATGTTGTGAGCCTATTATATGAAGGAAAATTGAGAAGCTCTTAGAGACTAACCTTTTTGAGGGCACCTGCTACCAAGTCAATCCGCTTGCAGGAACCATCATCCTGGGACTCGTGTCCATCATTGTCATCAACTCCATCTGGTGAATCTGGTAGACCATCAGAATCCTCCTTGTCGGAATTGGACTGGTCCATGTCAACCTCATCATTGCCTCCGTTGACCTTAAGCGCCGGAATTGGTAGAGAAAATCCATGCGGGATTGTTGGCTTGGCAGTACTTACTTTATTCCCAAGTGATTTAAGCCCATGCCCCACTGTTAGGTTCAGCTTATGGGTGTAACAGCGGACATGATGGGAGGATCCATCCCAAAACACCGGGTTGTCAGCACTGGAAAACATTGATGACATCTCTGATGCCATTGGTCCATTGTTACCACCACTATTTGTGGTCTGGGCTAACATGTAAGTAAGACATTAAGGTTAGTTACAAATATAACATTGATTATAAACAGAAATAGATAAAAAACTTTGGGACTTATCTCTTTATGTAAACCGTGGCGAACCAAGAATCTCCCTATTGGTCTTGCCGATTGGGCCCCAAAGTAGCGCCAGGCGACCATCTTCAGAGTAAGGTGTGTCGATTTGTAGGTCCAACTGCTGTCGATGTAATTGGCGGTGGCTCCAATAAATGCATACCTGTTTGCCTTTGTAGTCCAAGCATTGTGGATTAAACAGAACTTTCCCTTGTTTTCCTATGAAACAAAAATATAAAGTCAGAAAAGGGACGAGAGGAGAGTGAAACGAAAGAGAAGAGTAAATTAAAAAGATTCAATAAATCAAAAAGATTAAAAACACATACCTTTACAGCCTTGATGGATTTGTTGTGCAGGTCCGAGTACAGTATAACTGATTGCTGTGCTGCGAGCAAATCTGGGCACCTTGATTGACAGTGAAAAACGCAGCCCGAAGTGATGGGTCTTTGAATCGAGCCCATGGAAGGGCATGTCAAACAACCCAGATCACCAATATCATATTCAATAATTCCACAGTAAAAGTTGGTCCATTGAAATAAGAACTCAAGGTCAAGTTCTTCTTCTTCTTTGCCTCCATTTGTTTGGTATATGAAGGTGGAAGAACAACACCTGCGGCAATTGCTTTATGTCACTTGGTGCACAAAGGTCAGACCTTGTTGCCATCCTGATGTCCCCATAAATTCTAATAAGATGTTTCTCCTCCTTTATAGGTATTGTGACAGTATTTGCACTTATAATCTAGGCCCTAGAGATAAGAAATCAATACAATAGCAATTAGGGAAAAGTAGGAAGTGATACATGATTTGTTAGCCAATATTGCATCAAAACAAATGAGAAAAACAGAAGGAAAATACTTACATTGGGTTCTTCAAAGTAATCAACAAGACCTTTAACACGTTTGGACCAAACACAATTATAGCCTGGATCAGTGGAGCCAACGATCTTGATGTCAGACTCTTGAGACATGTCAACACCCTCAGGTACCTCAAATTCCTACACATCAAGGAAGCATTTGAAGTAGGTGAATAGTAATAAGAAGAAAGATAGAAAGAGGAATGATGGAAAGAACAATAGAACTAGATCAGATATATGAAGAAATGGAATGAGAAACAAGTCTAAAGCAAAACTGGTACTTACATCTCAATTGGCTTGTTTGCCTTGCTTTGGTGAACGGGGTGTCCCACCAGATGAACTGCCAGATGGGTATCTGGCCCTTTTGCTGATCGACAAACGACCCTATCAAAGTGAAGTGATTAGGTAAGTTTTCAAATTAGATACGGTGGCAGATGAACTTGTAGATGGTTTGACTAACCTTTCCTTTGACTGGTGGCTTAGGCTTAGCCTTGCTTTGAGCTGCTGTGGACTTATGAGTTGGTGGCCAAGGTGAGGCAGATCGTTTCAAAAGGGGGGCTGCCTCAGGTGATCCAACTTCAGGAGAGGATGATCGAGCAATAGCAGTACAAGAATCGCTTGGAGGTACTACAAACCCTGGCTGCTTGCAGGCAGGGCTTGGAGGTCGGAGGGTTCTACTGGTAGACTGGAGCTTTGGGTAAGGCTTTTGGAGAGTGTCATAGTAAAAATAAGAGATTGGAATCAATATTTATATGATTGATAGAGATTGTTGTTGAAGAAGTTAAAAAAAGATAAAACAAAGGACCTCAAAAAGGTTTTATACTCACCTGAAGATGATACAAGAGCTGGTCATTCCAACACTTAACCACCCACAATCCAGCCGTAGTTGAGAAAATTTTGGAAGCATTGATTTCCTGTAGTCCAGACGATGTAGCTTATAGGAAACTCCACCGTCTGTGTCGCTTCTACTGGGCATGGTGAAGTTGGGTTGTGGTCAGATCAAGATTTGGATGAATCAGATCAAGGATGAGGGGCATGAGTTTTGAGGAAGACCCGGGCCCTGGACCCGGGTAATTCTTTGCTATATAGCGGAGAAATCCCAGCTCCAGGGCATTTTGGAGCAGTTATACCACTATGGCTTTTTTGGACCACATAGTGTGGTGGGGCTTAGTGGTGCTCTAGCGGCTGCAAAAATCACAACGCTACCGCTTCACAACGTGATTTTATAGTGGAGCGCTTGCGGTATTGTCTTGTTGGCCTCTTATTTTCATTCCATTTGCTGGATACTCTTGAGCTACAAAGCTTTCACATGACTCATACCCCGTATGGTGGGGATCAAATGGATTGGACATAGCTCAAAATGACACAGCAACGACTCTCTTTTTTAAAAGATCTTGGCGTGACTTGCTTCTTCCCGGAAGCTGTGGAGTTGATGGCCGTGACTTTGACGCCATGAAGTTTAACTCTCCAATTTCGTCACTTTCATTGACAACCCTGTGCCAGCAACGCAACACACCGCAACACGAGTGTTTTTTGGTGCGTTGCTCCGCAACACGCAGCACAAACCTGCATTACATGCTGCGCTGCGGTAAGTACCGCAACAACAAAAGGTGAGGTCAGGTTGCGCGGCGCCTTGACCGTCGCGCAACGCAACAGGCGCAACAGCGCCAAAAAAACGCCGAACTGTGATTTTTTTTGGGCAGCAACGCAACAAATGTTGTTGCGGCCCAAAAAATCCATCGATTTGACAAATGATGGTGCGCTGCGGGTCAGGCCGCAACCTAGAATTTGATTCTATGTTGCGCTGCGGTCAGAAAAACCGCAACGCAGGCGCAGCGCAACACGCAACACCTGCGTTGCTGGCCCAGGGTTGCTTTCAACAATACCTTCAGTTTCCAAAGCAAAAAGAGATTTCAAGCCCAAAGAACTACATAGAAGGTATGTAAGACATAAAACAGAAAGCCTCAACATGATGGTAGCTTGATAGAAAAAAGTTTGCAAGCTGAGAAGGAGCTTCAGTTAACGTTCTGTACCTCGGTGGAAATTGGACAAGGAATTTGAAAGAGTCAGGCCAACTTTAAATGCAGCGCAATGAACGATTTAGCAATCACAGGTACTTTGCCAAACATGGAGAATCTCCAGGATAAAGGTTGATTCAAAGATACAAGGTCACAAGCAAGTCTCACATGGCTATGATGCTGATTCTCCGCATCTACACTTTTCCTGGCGCACCTTATAACGTGCCATAGAAACATAACAACGTTTTGATTAATAAATAACATTTTTCAGATGATTACATAAAATAAATTCTGGTTCGTGCAATGATAGTACACCATAAGAAGCAGCTCATGAGCTGAGTTTTGCACATCCAAACACGTTTGCTTGCACACCTTACAGGCCACATAAACATAATGAATCCAGGAGTATGTAATTAAGGTATTTGACAAATGGAAACTTGATAGTATACTCTTGAGCAACTGATCACAAACGCGGAATTGCATGTCGTTTCCACGATCAGAATCACGAAAATTGATCAATTCAATCATATCCTCACAAATTGGTGTTCGATAATTGAATGCCCTGAAATTTGTTTCAGACGTTAGCTATTTGATGGGGTGAGGTGCACAACCAAAAAACCCCTATGGTATTGTTCTTGATGATAGATCAAGAATCAGTGTTGGATAGTATGGCATATGCTGCAGGCATCAGTTATTGAGAGGGTTGGGTGGGGAGGGATGGTATTGACTACAGCAGTCAAGTTCGCAGGACACTATCTCCGAGTATTCGTGCTTGTACGATCATTGTGAAATACCTCAATGTTTTTCTCGCACACATAGCTATCGATATATCTGAGTGAAAGTTTGTCATATTGAGTGGTTAAGAGTTTCCATGATGCAAACACGCCCGATATAATCACTAACTGATGAGATTAATCAAAACTGCAAAGGACATAAATATGATCGAGATAAAATGTTTTCAGCATAAGCATATTACAACACAGAAAAAAAACGATACAAGAGAGGGGTAACAACATTGTCCAAAATAAGACAAAGGTAGCGCTTAAGATAATGCAAAATTGTGGGGAGTGTTGTGCCATTGGCATTAGTAAGTCGGAAATAGAAGTAATAGGCAGAGTCTGGTGTGAGCTAGAACGATCAACACCGGCCATCTGTGATCCTGGATGGGACGAGAAAAAAGAATGAGTCAAGATTGAAACACGTTCTACGCGGAACGATTTGGTAGAAAAAGACTATTCTCCATCGAACTCAGCCTCTCTAAGGCCTGGTGGTGGGTGAAGTCTCGTTGGCGTTGATCATCAGACATCCAGTTTGGCTGGTAGAGATTGAGATGTTATGTTTTAAGCCTTTTGATCAGTGTTTACAAATAGTTGCCCGATCGTGTGATATTGAGCCGTCCCGGAATTGATCTTTGGTTGGGATGCTCTTTCCAATATGAAGTCACCAGACCTCGGGATGTGATTACCTGACGGCAGGGCTACCAGATCGCATAGAGGTGAAAGGATTGACGTTTGCAGCGTCGCTGCCATTCGGAGCGTTGGGATTCTTGATGCTCACAGCACTACTAGCTCTCGGCCCTGGCTCTTGAGCACTAGAACCATGATGTCGATGCATTTGTGGAATCGGCCGGCGAATCAAATTGGCGCCAGGTGTATTAGCATGCGGGGTCGGGATGGGATCCGCGGGCAGTGCAAGGGGATCATCAGCGAGCGAGGGGGTGGTGTCTCGGTACAGAGAAGCTTGAATGGCCGAAGAAGAGGAGGAAGCGAGACCATAGATTTGGCCAAGAAATTTGGCTTCATCAAGCTGATCTTCAAAGTATTGAGATCTCAGTGCAAAAAAGGTATCAGCTGTGAGAAGAGAGTCCGATCCGGCTTGATGTTCCTTGCCACGTCGATTGACCTATAATAAAAGTAAAATCGATTTAGAAGCACTATTAAGAGAACAGGGGTGGATGAAGATACTGACTCCTAAATCTTTCGCAACTTCATTCAATCCACCTCGTAAACTCTTACAGCTTCTCATCATAAACTTAATATCAAATACACACGGAAACCAAATCTTGAGTAACTCAAAGAAATCTGCCTCGCTAGCTGGTAAATTGACGAGAGTGACCATCTTCAAAATATAACCGAAATCGTAACCAGAGTGAAAGCTGATCCATTTAACATCATCTAAGAGAACGAGGCCAGAAGAGATGAGTAGTTCTCCAAAGTACTCCATCTCAATTCCATGTTCTTCATGTTGTTTGAAATTGAGACCAGAAGCTTGCAGCAAGTCAATGGAATCAGGCGCATACATGTCGTCACTGATCGGTCAGGAAGGAGAAGAAATTCAGTAAGAAGAGGTCGATTTAGCCGAGGAGGTCTATCAAAGGACTGACTTGAGACTGAAACGAAAGTTGAATTGCCAGACACATTTGCCTTCAGGTTTCCGACCATTCTCATCGCATAAAGTAAGGCCTAGTTGAATGATTCGAAGTAAATCGACGTTACAACGTAGAGTTTGGTAATGATAGTCGGACGCTGTCTTAAAAGTGCCGATTGGCCGAGCCACAACACCAGGGAACTCAGTATCCTGTGAAATTCAAAGAAATAAAAGTAAAAAGCTTTAGTTCATATCGTTTGAAAATAGGCCTTATTCGAAATCGGAGATAAATGTAGTCTCGGACTGACCATCCCGATGTAAGGGTAATATTCGATCAAATCACGAATTATATTCATCTCACTATCCAAGTTTTCGGCCCAGACTTCACATATTTCCAAAGGTTCCATGATGATAAGAGATGAAACTTGAAGTCAAAGATGTCTAATGAAAGGAACTCAATGGAGTGGAAGGGAGGGCTTTGACGATGTGGAGCTCAGTTGGTTGAGGGTTAATCAAATTAAATTAAATTCATCCAATACACAAATACCGTGTCATGTCAGCTTATTGGGGTATGCCACGGGGCCGTGTGTAGCGATGTGGGACCGGGGCTTTCCTCGGCCTTGGGTGGACTCGAAAGCTCTCAAAAGTGGACCAGGGCCAGCCAAGGCGCGGCCTGGATTGTATCACGCAGGGCCAGGCGGGCTGGGCTCAAGTTTGAGCGCAAAAACTGGTGGAAGGGAAATAGTCCACACTTTGAGCTCAATTTGAAGCGCCTGTTTTTGCGCTGGAAATTAGCCTTCAGTGGGACTTTTGTTGCAGATTCACATGTAATTGAGGCTATCATATACAGCTATTCCAAGAAAGGTTGATTTGTTTTCTCAAATATTCTCTCCCATGCAAAACACATACTGTTGGTTTTATTGAGGTTTTTCTTTTCACAAGGTTGAGCAATATGGAAGGAAGAGGATCTTCCCAAGAAGATCATGTGTACTTGTGACCATTCATTTCACATCTTTTGATCATTTGTAAGTGCTGTTTGGCTTCCATGGCTAGCCGCAAGAGGAATCTTTTCTCATCAGTCAGTAGGATTTGCCATAGTCAGGCTGTGGAAACATGCACATCAGGTGTGGTTAAGTTAATTCTTGAGAAAACTGGCAAAACCAGTCACAGTTGTTTTATCTGCCACTGAATATAACTATGTATAAAAGAAAAGAAATCCTACCTCAACTCCTTGGACCAACTTTCAAGACACACTTGAGCCTCAAGATCTTGGGTGGTAAAAGATGTGCAGTGGTCACTCGTGACTTGTAAAGTGCTAGAAAAGCACCTCTTAGATGGAGCACTTCTAGCAGGTACCATGAGCATAGATCTCAGCATATGGGTTAAATTGAGCCAGATATGTCCATATAACTTCCAGTAGGCAAGTACTTCCTTCTTCTCATCCTGCTCATTGATTTTGTTCTCAATAGAAACTGTTTTATGGCATTTGATGAAGTATTGGGGCTGTTCAGGGTTGAAATGTCCTTCAGGCTTAATGATATTGATGTTGGGATTGCAAGTTGGTCAGAACTTGGTGGCCTGATTGGCAAAGTACAGTCCCATCCAAGTGATTTTTGTAATCATTCAAGTTCTGCAGTGGCGGGGTCAGGGTTTGTCCCAAACCCAATGATTACAATTCCTAGGTGTGGTGACGTGTACACAAGCAAGTCTTCAAGCCCCCAGCCAAGCAATTACATGGTGGGACCTTGGACTGTGGTGAATTTAAGGCAAGGGTTGAGTATGGCAGAGCATATATGGTCAGCTTTCTTCTGATCAGTTTCTTGATATTGAACAATTTTCTCAATCATTGGCCAAATACAAACTTTCAACTCCTTGAAATCAGAGTTGTGCCAGGCATATGACACAAGCCATCCAAATTATAAGTCAGAGATGAACTCCACAAATCATGATTAAAGGAAATAATCAAAGGAAAAATACACAGCTTCAAGTTTTTCAAGCAGCCATTGGTAGTCTGGCATAACACTGGAGAATGGTGGATGTGTTTTGGCTTTGATTAAGTTGAGGAACTTGGCAAGGGAAGACCGAAGCTTGACCAGAATACACTCCAGATTACTTTATATGTTTAATTGCCCACTTGTGTAATTACATGTAGAAGTCCTTTTGGAAATTGAGGATATGGACATTGGTCACATCACATTTTGTTTCTTGAGGGACACGTCTGATCAGACGGTTCCAAAAGGTTGTGAGAGCTTTCTACACCCTGGGATATCACAGGGCAGAAGGGAGCTTGTAAAGATTATAGAAGGCAATGATAGACATTGTGTTCATGGTATCAATCACATATATTTCTCAAAATAATCCAAATCTGCCTGATGTACAATGTTGAAGTTCCCTTTGTGGCTTCTCACTCAGCAAGCCATGTGAACTTGTAAGAAAAATTCCTGCATCTTGAATCATGCTTATCAACCTATGTCCCTGATCTAACTCAGCTAATTCTAAAACTAGCTTGTCTACATTGAAGTCGCAAGAGAAAGCACAAGTTCCTTACTGGCAGTTCACGGTTTCTTGTTGGAAAGACACTCAACTTTTTGTAATCAAATTTGGATTAAATATAAGAGGTTTTGTGCAAGTCATGTGAAAATCAATTGATGTTCTAGTATTAAAAACTTCAACTCTTGATCCTTTTAGAGCTTTATCATGTATTTATGACCTTTTTGCAATTTCCTTTTCAAGCTATAAGTGGGCTCACTGCTGGGGCTCAAAAGGTTGTCTTTCAGTGTCTGATGTCAAATTTGGATAGAATGCAGCATAACTCCTGTCACGTTACCTCTGTGCTCCTGGAGAATTTTAAACTTTCTATTTTAGCTGAAGGAAGATTTTTCATTTAACCAACATTGAAGAAAATGGACAAACGCAAAACTAGGAAAAAGGATAAATTGTAACACAGTTGAATTTATGGCAACATTGTAACCAGTTGCAAAAAGTGCTCTTTGTATGGAGTCTCACCAAGAAACCCCATACTATCCCTCGTTCCTTGGACTTGCAAACCTCAAATGCAGAGGAACAAGTTCTGAACCTGATTAAGTTGTATTACTGAGTGGGTTTTTCTACTCTTAAATCAATCACTCTTATTTTGAATCTAGATTAGCATTTTTTGCGAAGATTAACACACAGGACGATCACACCCCAGGAAAAACAAAAATTTCATATATTTGAAACTGGTCCAAACAAAAAATAACTTGGAGTGATCTTCATTTTAAGTCCCACCAGGTAAGCTTTGCATCTGGGAAAGAATCACGATTTGTGATCCAAGCTCGAACGGATATGGTAAATAAACTGATACCTAACAAGTAGCTTATCACAATTGCTAGACGCGTCAAAAGGTGCAATATACATAAGAATTATGTAGACTCAAAGCGTCAGCGGTAAATATATAGATTTAATGCTGAGAGAAGTTCCTTACATGTTCGCCGATGTGGGAATTCCTTTAAAGAATCAAAGAGTGGAGGGAAGCCCATGAAATTACAAAAACTATGACAAAGACTAGCGGCAACGACTGATCCTGTATTATTGAAAGACGGAAATCTGACTTAGTATTCAGCTGACTGAGATCTGGGCTCGGAAGTTATAGTAATAAATGAATGTGATCCAAGGATGATAGGAAATGAGGGGCGAACCTGTGCGTAAGTAGATAAAGCTCGCATACCAACCAAATACTGTCGTATAGGCAAACTGGAACACTATGCGATATGTGAAATATCGAGTCCAGATCAGTTGACGAATTGTACAAAGAATCAACACCGTTAAAAGGAATTGAGAGAAGCAGAGGTGGAATTACTTACATGATATCATACTTCCTCTCAGTAATGCTTGTCGCGTACGGTCATTGGACACATATGTTTCCCGAATACTGTGAACATGAGCTATAAGAGTCAGATGGAGTACAAAACGCGTCCCGTTTATCAGTCCAAACACATTCAAAGTTTCAGTTGAAATTACAGAGTACAGACCTGCCCCAAACCATAGCGGAGAAAGAAAGGTGATCTGAGTAGCTGATGGTCGAAGTTGAGGATCGATGAGTAAATAAGTAGCAATGATACAACCTCTAAAAACGATTTCTTCAGTAATGGGCCCAATGATCAAGTTCCTGATGTGTTGTAAATCAAACAAATCACGAAAACTGAATGCTTCAACATGATTAGAAGACTGCAGGAGAAGTTGAGTGTAAAGTGGTCCAAGGAAGAGAATAGCCGTGAGGACTAGAGGCTGGATTTGAAGTCGAAGATATGCTAAAATTGAGTCAGTTGGAAGGAAGCCTGTCAATTCTAGCGTTGCTCGAATTGGATTGTCGGACTGATCGAGGAGCAGAGGTTCGATCACATTGAAATCAGCTCATATACTATTAAGACGTTCCAAAGGAGACCACATACTAAAGTATTCCCTCCATAGATTTGAATGAGAGTTCCAATTAGAAAGACACTGAAGAAGGTAACGAAAGTGACGGCAAAGAGCCTGGCACGAATCACGGCTGGGTGCTGACGGTCCCTCGGTTGACCGGTGAGCGGATCCTTCTCCCAAGGCTTAGATCGGGCTGCTGGAAGTAAATACAAGATAGCAACATAAGATACAGCGATCGAGCCAGCGACGAAGTAGGCTAGATGAGGCGGTAAAGAGGAATCAAGCGACATCTTGGGGTGAATTTGAGCTGCGAAGTGAAAGGAAGAAAGAAAGAAAACATGAATGTTGATATCAACTTTTCCTGAACAAAAAACCAAGTGAATACATGAAATATTTTTTTGATTCAAACTCTCAACTTGCCTAAATTGGAGTTAAATTCTTCATCACTTCAGTCAGAGACCGCAAACAGAAATCAAAGTCAACCAGGCTGAATGAGCGATGAGATTGTGTAGGATGCATTTCTGAATCTCAAATCAATCATCAAAAGCGATAAAATTATACACTCGCTTTTGGAAGCAGTCTATCCGTATGGAGTATCAGGAAATTGTGCTTCAGCATTTGATCAAAACAGAAACCAAACGTGTCTTGAATTCGATCACATACACAGTTCTGATCAGTGTATAAAAATCATGATCATCACAAATCAGTCCATGTGAATGCACCAGTTTGCCTCACATAGGCTCACTACCCACAAAGAATCACTTCGACATATAAAATTGTTCAGCTTGGGCAGGGTTGAACGCATAGAAGCCATGTCCTATCCGGCAATTTTTGATGCTTTCTGCTGTCATAACACTGCACTCAAACCCTACTTGATCCTGGATGGTGTCAACTGGTACATTTGTAGCTGTTGCATGGTGTGTGATTCACAGGGATTAGATCTGAATTCTGGGATTTCACCCGTCCATTTGACCTCAATGAGCACAGCCAACAAATTGACCTTGGATTGTTCAATCAGAGGTATCATTGAACTCAAATCCTCAAACAGAATCTTTCCAATGTTATGATCTGAGGTATTTACCAAATCCTTGAATAAGATCTGCCCAAGGGTTTACATCCAATGATGCCTCAGATTTTGCAACCCAAGTGTTGGTGGTGCAGTATTGGGTATAGTGACAAATTGCTTCAAGATACTTTACTCAAGGTAAGTCCTTGGGGGTATTGTGGTTTTTGATCCCATATCAAGTATTGTATTTGTGAACCAATACTTTCACAGGGGCAAAAATAGATGCTCACATTTGGGTGAGCATTGAAATTTTATTGTGTTTTTTTAAAGTTTGTCTTGGTTGATGATGAAAATTTATGGCCATATTGATGTGGATTAGGAATATGTAGTGAGAATTGTGACCTGGTGAGTAGTGAAGTTGAGATTGAAGTTGATGTGAAGTGGGCAAGCGAGGTGAAAAATTGTCTGATTGGGGATTCAAAGTAGAGAAAACTGGAAGTTTTTACTTTGTATCCCATAAATGACATTTTCCAATCCAAGAAACATCACAGGCCTTGTCCATCCAACACCAGCCATATCTTCCCAACATCTCTGCCTGAGATACAAGCAATACTTGGGGTTTACAATCCCAAAATTGCACAAGCTCAAAAGTTATTTCAAAACCTCAATGTTGATGAACCGTTTGATGCTTCTCATATCTAAGAATAGAAATTACTGAAAGTCTGACTGGTGTTCTTGGACTTGTCTTGAACTTAGTTTTGATACCTTTCTTCTTCTGTTAAGGATATTCTTATCATGGTATAGTTTTGGGTTCTTATAAAGATTAATCAAGAAACAGCTCTTACACCAGCACAGCCATCATTCAACTAGTCCTGAAATCTGCAATGAGAAAATCAATCCCAAGGCTGTGGCACAGGCAGGCAGGGAAAGCCACCCTGCTTTGGCTTTTTGCAAGGGGACCTTTCAGTTACATATTGAAACAGCCACCATTCAACCCTATTCAACCTCTTTCAAAATGAATCTCGTGATAGGAACACTTGTTACAAGTCAAACTTGCCACCAAATCTGTGACTTGTAGCAATCCTTCCTTATCACTCATCAATTTATAGCTATCAAAAATCAGGGTCCTGTTAAAAGGTATAAAAGCCATACCATTTAATTCTTTATTTCTTTCTTGATTCATACTTTTCCTAACTAGATTAATCCAGGTTGTGTTCTCCATACATAGCTCCCTCTCAAAGATGTACAGTCTCTTTTTCTTTTTCACTCATGCAGTTGTTTCAGGTATAGCCTTCTGTAGCTGACAATGTATCTCCTTCCAGTGCAAATTGGAGACTTGTAGATCACCTTCTAAAGTCATTGTTGATTCCAAGGACAATTGATCTCAAAAATTCCAGGTGAGCTCTTTTTTTTCTTCTTTGACAATTTGATATGCTAGCTCATATTTTCATCCACACCAACCATTGAGAAAACTATTCAAACCATCTTTTTGGTCCCATATAAACAAGTTGAGTGATTATTATACACACACTATCTGTCATGTTTCCCTACAATATAACTAGTGTTCATTACCCACCAAATTCAATCCATCTTGAAGATATGATCATGGCTGATGTGTAATATTATCTCACATCAGTTGAGAAAGATCATGAACACTCCATCTCTCAAAAAGCTGGCATTGTTTGTCCTGGTTTCCCTTTCCTTGTTCAAGGGCAGAATGATGGTCACAAAGGTTCACAGATACAGTGGTGCAGGTAGACATACAAGTGCTAAAATTTGCTCATACACAGTGGAAGTCACATGGGAACCTGAAGCCAAACTTCCCACATTCAAATGGAACATGATGGAATGCAAACATGGTCATATTGATGTGATGGCTTCAGTCAGAAATGATGATGGAACTGATGGGACAGAAGTACTTGCTCGGGTTTATAACCCCAGTTTTGATTTAAATGACATTCCTCATGATCACCCATATGATTTTATGGAAGGCACTTTAACTGGTGATGGTAAAAGACTTGTAGATAGATTCCTATTCTTGCCAGGTAGGAAAAATGAACACATAAGGCTTATATAGAGTTGATTATTGCCTTCAAATACTAAATTTGTCATCTGATCACAAGAGAAATGTTTTACTTCAGATGACAAGATTGGTATTTTGGGGCCATCATTAAACCTATGATAAAAGTTAACCAAAAAGATTGTAAGGTTATAAAGCCTTTAAGTTTGTCCTCCACGTGCTGTCAAATTCTAGAATTCTAACCTTTGCCTTGCAATTTGTTTGCTCCTCAGGTACAGCTTGCTCAGCTTCTTTCCAACTCTGAAGAATTATAGGCATCATCTTGCTGTAGGCACAACTTACACTTCTTCTAACACTGCACAGATGTAGTATTTTTCCACTATGCAATTTTGCATCCTTGTTCAGATGCAAATGGCATATTGAAGGTCTTCTTGCCATGTTGAAAGAGTCAAGAATCAAAAAATTCAAGAGTGGAAAGAGTCAAGAATGAAAAGACATCAAAAACTCAAAGATATCAAAATCCGAAAGGTATTTGAAAATTGGAAGGTACCAAAAATTGGAAGGGACCAAGAGTAGATAGATATCAAGAATTGAAAGGTATCTGAGGTGGTGGTAAACAAGCATAGTGACTGTTGAACCTGTTCAAAAGCACTTGACTTGCAGGTTATGTATTCTTGTAATTCCCCAGCAAACAAAAGTCAATGCCTGATTATGAGAATAAATGCGTTGGTCAAGTATATATGTGTCTTTGATGTTCTTTTACCGGTTTTTTTATTCTCCCCTATAGCAGCACTCTTGAGTTATGTGTTGTCCAATGATCCAAGTTCTTTGTATTCAGCATCCTTGGAAATATAAATGACATGCAGAGCCACGTGAGATGATCTTAAGGATGTGGTATCTATTTAATGCTGATTCAAAAAACATCAGACATATGGCAAAGTCTGATGATCATCTCTAAAGCTTTGATCTCCAAGCTTGACTAGAGTCATATTATCATATGTTCCTCTTCACCCTCCTGGACCTATCAGTTTGAATGCAACAGGTCAGCTTATGAACCCAGACCTGGGCTGAAAATACGCAAGGAGATTCTATCTAGCAGTGCTGTTCACATCATTGTCTTTATAACTTACTTGGATTGAATTCTGGATCAGTTCTGGTTATATATGATTTCTCAGCATTATATATACAGACAAAAATGACAAAGTATCAAAAACTCCACCATGATCCTTGTGTTTTGCGGCCACCAAGCGGATGCGGTATTGTTTTGGACTACTACTTTGCCATGGAATATGTCATTTCGGATAGAGCTCATTGTACTCTGCTATCCTTTGGGTTTGTTCCAAGTTTTTAATGAGGAAGTGTTGCATGAGAATAAGGTCAAGGTGGTCTGAAGTTGAACCCTAAGGTAGTGGTGGCACTTGGTATGTTTAGAAGTTGAGTGTTTGAAAACTTCAAGCTGTAAAGTGAAATGTCGATCAAAACTTCAATTCACCAAATTCTAAAAACCAAAATCACATCTCAATCAACCATGAACTCAGCAACCAACACCATCACCATTACTCCGAACCAATACAAATTCATAGGTCAACCTCATTCATCTTTCAAATCTCAAAGACCTTGACATTGATGATGTTTCTTGTTTTTTTTTGGTTTTGTAATTTGAAAAAAGATTAGATATAGGTTCGAATTTATCAGATCCAATTTTTCGTGGAATTTATAATGGAAAACAAGTTCATGAAGGTTAATTCAAATCAAATCAAATCAAAACCAACAAAAAACCATAGAGATTCAGTGATGAAGAATTTCAAGATTGACTTAGCCAAGACTTGGTTCTTTGATCCATAGATGATTTTCATCAGATACTTCAACGAGCAAGAAAGTTTGGAGTCGAAAAACAAATCTTAACTGGTGATTGTCTTACCGGATCTACTCAAGTTATTGAACTTTCTCATCAACATCGTTTGTGATTTTCCTATCTTGATCTCTATCGCTTCAATTGAAGATCATCAATCTGATTCTGTGATTTTTGTTTTCGTAAAGATGGTTTGTATGCAACTGTAGGTTGTCATCCATGTAGAGCCAACGAATTCGAGACTCCAATCGATCAAACCCATCCAACCGAATCTCTTGCTGAACTTTATTTATCTAAACTTGAAGAATTGATTCAGTCTGATCAAAGATTAGAAAGATCGAAACGAAAAGTAGTAGCAATAGGCGAATGTGGTTTAGGTGAAAGAAACGTATGATCAAGAGGTATCAATTCTGGTCATTGATCTTGTGCTTCTTGTTTGGTTTTGATTTTTAATAGATTATGATCGATTATCGTATGCTTCTAAAGAAGTTCAATTACGACACTTCCCACCGCAACGTCAGTGATCCAAAAACCTCGTCTCATCCAACGCCGATCCTCATTTTTCTTGTTTTTTTTTTCTGATTGAACTCGAAACCCGAGAAAAGTAAGCCTAGCAAGGAAATACAAACTACCACTCTTCTTACACTCTCGTACACCTGAAGCACATACAGACCTAGTTTCGATCCTCAAAACTCATCATGATTTAGATCCTCTAAACCTTTTACCTCCTAGACAAAGAGGAGTGGTTCATAGTTTTACTGGAACTCATTCTGAGATGGAAGAATTGATTGAGTTAGGTTATAGTATTGGTATTAATGGATGGTTCATCACTTTCTCTTTTTTTACTTCGTTTTCTTATTTTTTGGAAGGTTTTGAGGCTGATTTGATCAACTTGGGTTTTGGAATTCGGATTAATAACTTGATAGTTCTTTGAAAACTGAAGAAAATCTAAACGTAGTCAAATCGATTCCATTAGATAGATTAATGTTAGAAACAGGTCAAGGTTTTTCCCTTCAATTCTTAATTCTTGGTTCCATTCTAATCCAATCTTTCCTTTTCACATAGATTGTCCATGGTGTGATATACGTAAAAGTCATGCATCATTTCAACTTTTATCAGATTTACCACCAGAGTTTTTGATCAAATCAATTAAAAAAGAAAAATTTCAATCAGATCAACCGGTTTTAATTAAAGGTAGAAACGAACCTTGTACGATCTTTCAAGTGGCTTGGATCGTTTCTAAATTATTGAATTTGGATGTAAATGAATTAATGAAGATCGTTTGGAAGAATTCAATGGATTTGTTTCAATTAGATTTACTTGATTAAAGAAAAAGAGATCATAAGTTTCTTTTGGAATGGAAGTTGTGCTTTTTTTTTGAGGATGGAGCTGGATTATCATGATGAGCCTTTGAAAGAAATTGATCAGTTAGGAATTTGGTATTTGGCGGGCCTAGTGTGTTTTGCCTAGTTCCAAGTGATTGAGCGCGGAGTGGTATACAAGAAAGTTCACAAAAGATAGGCAGAAGATAGACTTACATCAGCTACAATTAGAGCATCCACTATGTTGAGGGTGTTTTAGGATACTCATGGATCTCGATATACGATATTTGACTTGATCATGAGACAATGCGACGAGAATAGTATTAAGATGTATGGTGAACGTAGGATTTAACTACGATAATCTGTTCTTAGAACACTATACACGCTATGGCAAAGTCGAGACTCGAATTGAAGTATCTTACCACGCCTCACCCAGCTCACTTCTATGATGATGACTACCTTGGTAGCCAGAAAGAACCAAAATGATGGCTTCAGGTGTTGACAATGAGCATCGAGCTTTCTCACATCTTGCTCGATCTTGGTGAAATCAATCGCACGGAATCATTTTTTTTTAAAACAAAATGCGTTTTTTTTAGCAAATTCAGAGTTATAAACAGCTACCATCAACAAGCTGTGATTTTGAGGGACGAGGGAAGATTTTGATTGAAGGTGGTGAGTGCAGAGTGGGATGGATACAGATAGATCATTTGATGGCTGTTGACCGATTTGATGCGCCAAAAGTCTACGATAAATCAAGTCGTAGGCTTGCGTAGATTTGAACAAGGGGAGTGCAAGATTTGACGCAGTCGTACGGACCGCATGTCTAAAACAGGTCCATAGTAGACCTGTCTGGATTTTAGCGTTATTCTAACGCTAAATCACATCGTTAACGCACCCATAGTGGATGCTCTTAGTATAATAAGAAGAGTCAAGCTCATATGGGATACTCATGGATCTCGATATACGATATTTGACTTGATCCTGAGACAATGCGACGAGAATGGTATTAAGATGTATGGTGACTGCTTCAGTCATAAAGGACGGCGGAACTCTGGGGGAATATAACGGGAAACACTTTGAAAATGATCAACTTCTGGAATAGAAAGAAGTAGTGAATTTCACATAAGCGTTTTCTTTGAGCAATCTACATGTCAAAGAGAGACTCACATAAACTTTCTTGGGTTCAAGGAAATTCACAAATGAGAGGGGAAAGTTTTTAAGGAAATTTTCAACACTGGAATCTGATTGCCCTCACAGTCACTGTGAGGTGTGCTTTGGGTTTCAGAGATCCATGAATATTGAAATTGAAGTCTATAGTAAGCATTTATGGATCTTTGTTGAGTTTAGGCTAAAGCTCTCTTTCTCATGAGTTTGATAAGAAGTTCCTAAAGCTATGGAATTTCTTTCAACTTGATTAAAAGAATTAGAGTTTTGAAAATGTATGGAAAATTTATTTCAAGTTGTAAAATAGGAAGTTTGAGAGAAAATTACAAAATAAGAAATCAATTCTCAAACTTCATTAAAAATGATCATCAAATTTCAAAACATAAATTGTTTCATCCAAATTGTAAAAAAGAAAAACTTCAAAAGAAAAAAACTTGATATATATATATATATATGTAAGAAAAAAAAGAGAAATTAACAAGTTTTTTTGTTTTTTCCAAAAAAGAATCTATGGTGAAGAAAAAAAAATCTATCATCAAAAAAGAAAATAAGAAAATCGATTTATAAAAAAAAAGGTATAACAAAGGCATAATTGTTGTACCAAAGACGTTTTCCAGAACCAGAAAAACCCAAGCATATTCCCAAACCAAACAACCCAAAAACCCAACCCAAAAACCAATCCAATTACTTCCCAAACCCCCAAAACCAAATTTCAAAATGCAAGAAGAAGCAAAAAAAAAATTCTGATTGTTTTGTCATGATTTTTTTTACAATTGACAATTATAACCCACCAAAGTAGGTTCATGAAAGATAGCCAAGACCAAGATCACCAAAGCCAAAGCACCAATGGTGATCATTCCTTTTGACCAAAGAGGATAAGATCTATGCATTGCTAACCAACCTAATCTTCCTGCTCCTATTGGTTTTTGTGCTACAACCAATCAAACCCCCAAAAAGAAAAATTTCAATTCAACTTTCAGCATATCTTAGAAGAAGAGTATGCTTGGGTTTTTGAGGGGAGGGGTTTGGGGTTTACCTCTGTAATCTTTCCAACGAGCTCCATGTGCTCGATCAAAGTAATCGATTTGATGACGTTCTTCGAAATCGGCTAACCATCTATGATCAGCATCTTCAGCTTGTAATTGTCTTGTAAACAAATGTAAAGTTAATCTAAAGAAAAAAAGAAATCGAACCAAAAAAAAAAAAAATCATTGCCATTCAATTTGTGAAGTGATTTTCGGTTTGGGTAAGAGAGAAAGAGGATAAAAGCTTACATGGTGATAACTATACAAAGACTCATTGAAGCTATTCTTGCAAACCTTCCTGTATCTGCTGCTAAGGAAATACTAAAAAGAAAAGCATGAGCGGTTAAAGAAGTGGCTGGAACTTGCCTAATTTCATCCAAAAAAATCATCATCATCAATTCATTAATCAAAAAAAAAGTTATAAAAAGAATTAAGTTTTTTTCTTGAAGGGTTTCTCATTATAAGATAATAAGAATGAAGTGTGTGTGTTTTTTGATGGGTTTAATGGGTTTCTTGAAATAGGCAAAATCACTTACCAAAGTAAATTATCAAAAGCTGTTCTTCTTTCAGCAACGACTTGATAAAGACTAAACAGAAAAAAAACAGTAAAGAAGATGCAACTCCACTCCAAAAGTTCAGAAAAAAAAGCTTACATAGAAATATCTTTAAAAGTAGTCGGAGGCATTCTAGAAGTCACAGAAGGAGTAATAGAAGCAGGTCGATGGTTTAAAGAAACAGGAAACCCAGTAGAAGTAGCAGCAGCAATAGCCAAAGCAGCTGTCGGACCTATTGGAGGAGGTTGTGGTGAGTTTGATGAATATGAATTGTTTCGGGATCGGCTTGAGTCTTGGTGATATTGAGCTGATGATAGTTGAAACATTGGAATTGGGGATGGGGTTCGGGTTTGGGTTGGATCTGAAAGAATGGATTTTATTAGGCTGGTTTTGGTTGGTTTGATTTTTTGGGTGAAGAAGTCACTTAACTTTGATGATGAGATGAATGGAATGGGATCGAGTTTACATTTAAAAAGTCTTGGTTTTGAGATGGATGGATGTATGGTTCTGATTGACGTGGTGGAGTATGAGATGAATGTCTTCTTAGATCAGGAGTACTGATGGTTCTTTGGATTAGATTTTGATGAACTAAAGATTGATGATGAAGATGATTAGGTGAGATTAAGATTTGATTTAAATCAGTTTGATGTTCTGATGCTTGTTCTTGTTCTTTTTCTTCTTGTTCTTCTTGTGATTGTGATTGTGATGGTTGATGAAGTGAAGTAGATTGATAGTTTGTTCCATTTGGTGTTGAAGTGATGATTTCTGGTGTTGGTCTTGATCGATTTGAATGAATGTTCATTAATTCTCGAATCGACCTTGAAGCTGATCTTGATCGAGTCTGAGATTGAGATTGAGCTTGGTTAGATTTGAAGTTCACCATTTTGTTATCCTTTGCTATGCTTTGCTATGTTTTGCTATGCTTTACTGTCCTTTTCTTTTTCCTTTTCGTTATCTTTTTGGTTTCGTTATCTTTTTGGTTTCGTTATGTTTGTTTGGTAATAGAAGTCTTTGTTTTGAAAATAAACAAACAAACAAACTGAATTGAAGCTTCAAGATCCAATTTCAATTTCAATTCATAACAAATCCACAATTTGAACTTTAGAAATCACACATTTCTCATCATCTCATACTCCACAGTGAACTTTCCTAATCTCATTCTACACTTCAACTTATCAATTTCAACTTCAACAAGCCAGATCACCTGGAAATCCTCAGACAAGCTTCTATGTCTCTACCGGGGTCTCTTACCCATGCCTTTCTCCAATGCTCGATTGATTGGTTTAAAACATAGCCTTACTGGTAGGCTTATAACTTTCACCTTATCTGTCATTGCGGCTCAAGTGGATTTCGAATGGAGAATTTTTGAAAAGATACTGAAAAAAAAGAATGATGAATCATATTGCCAATATATTTAAAACATTCATATCGATCAAATACATCAAACTACATAACCAATCTCTGCTGAAAAGAGATCATGGAATATTGAATACTTGAAGACATGTGCTCAAAACAAAACAAAAAGAACGAGGTGATGAAAACTTCAAAGGATGAACCAACAAATACAACACAAACAAAAGTGATCCATCAAGGCTCTTCAAAGATAAGTATGAAGACCACAGGAAAACAAAAATAAAAATCGAAAAAACCGAAATAATAAAAAACCAAAATGAGAATTTCTTTGCCTTTTTCTTTGAATCTCAATATAATGAGACGGAAAGACAGAAGGGAGGGAAGTTTAAGGTTTGAAACATTCATCGATCCATTTGTCACGGTACATCACCACTCTTCCTTTTGGACCTACATGATTAGATGTGTAAAAGAGGATCAAGGATGGGTTAAATCATTCTGAAAGGAAACAGATCATCAAGTAAAAACACTGACCATTTAAACATTGAACATTCGGTCTCTCTTTATCTGGACCTGGACAATCGTTATCTGTTTGAAGATTCCCAAAAACAAAGACGTATGATCAGTTAATGAAATCTGGTGATTGGAGATCTCAAAGGCTTGGTTGATCAAATTGAGTTGCGTACCGGTACAGATCTGATTGAGATGAGTATATAAAGCATCACATAATCGAAAGATGGTTGGTTAATAGAAAAAACAAGACGTTTATAAGCAACCTGGCTTGTTCAAAACAACTCAAAAGGAGTTGGAAAAAGTCAATTCGATTCAAGACTTACATCAGGTAATCGGATCTTCATCTTCTGAGTACGATCCCTACTATAAATCCAAAAATCAGTTCTAGCCTGAGCATTACAACCAGGATTACCACGTGGGGCATCTTTAGCATGATGCCAAGTATAAATACTCTGAGGATCCATATAATCTCCACTCTTGTTCTTTGTTTCTGCCTTCACATCTATCTTTGTGGAAGATGGTTTGTCTTTCCAATAATCTTCTGCACCTGTTGATTCACAAAACGCATTTCTACTCCAGGTAACTGTTGCATGACCTGTAAAGATACTTGGGTCACTTGTATCTGTTTTTCCGTCGTCTTTCCATCGCCAGTAGACGTGTGCACTTTGTGGTGGATGATCACATAAGGTTAACTGATGAATGAGAACCAGAGAAAAACGAAAAAAAAAACAATCTTTTGGATTAGACTTGATAAACACTTTTATAGAGGGTTTCTCTATGATTCATGAGAAGTCGAAGATCACTTACGTTTGGTAAAAATGCACCGAGACCTAAAATGAGAACAAGAGCTGAATGTAAAGATAACATGATGTTAAAGGTTTTGATAGTGTTTTGTAGTAGAAAGATTTGAAAAATGTTTGATATTTTGACGTAATGTATGAAGAGAAAAAAAATATGTAGTCTATGCACACAAGTGAAATGGAAGAGAGTAGATCTGAATGAGAAATGAGGAATAGAAATCTCAGCCAGTTCTCGAAATCAGTCTGCTTTTTATATACTCAAGAAAAATTATCGTCGGCAGAAGTTGGTATTCTATTAGGTCACTGCCAAGCTCTTTCCGAACAGGCCAAAGTAGTCTCATGATAAGGTTCGGAATCCGGAAAGACCCTTTTTGAAAGACTTGGCAAGAATTGGTAACCCATGCCTTGCAGGTAACAATATCATCTGTCCCGCTGGCGAGGTGATTCTAGTTCGGCGTTAATTTGATGGGTTCTGTTTTGTTGAAAATCATTTTCTTGATGGCTTAGTGAAGGTGACCAGAGGATCGGGTGGAATTAGAAATGAAAATGGACTTAAAACTTATCAATGTCCCTTAAAGTGAATGTCTTGTGGAGTCGCGAGGCAATGATGACCTTTGGAATTTCAATATGGGCTTGAGTCTTTCAAAAAGACGGTAATAAAATTTGCTTACCCTGGTGAGCGTTATCTTAGAGATGATGGGTCGGAGCAAAGCACGATTTTGGATAGGATGATGGTAGGCTTGATTTCGGATACAAATCATTCTTCAATAAATCTGTAAATCACCGTGAAGGAGATTTGGAAGGTTGCAAATACTAAATTACCAAAGACTGGTTTGGGAAAGCTCATGTGATTGGGAAATGCAAGTAACCTAAGAAGCCTTATGGACATTGATGATACCAGTCCAAAGGCCAGTTCATATTTATTCGGGTGGGAGAATTTTACACCGACCGATTTACACCGGATTATCCGGTGTAAAGTCCATTATTCTACACCACGGAGTGGTTCTTGAGCAGAAATATCGTCGGTGAGGTCTGCAAGTGGTCGGGGTCCTGAAATCGTCGGATAATTGCCTGAAAGTGGCCTGTAAATGGCCTGAAATTGGTCTGTGAGAACCGGCTACATACCAGCTGCAGTCCAATCGAGTACCGTTGGTAGGCAGACTGCAGCTGGTGTACATGGTTAAGTCTGCAAAAGGGCGGGCAAGCGCCTGTCAGACGTCTGCCAGGCCGCTGAAAGGGCAGGAGCTCTGAAGTGCGGCCGGTTCTGGCAGATTGGCTGCCGCTCGACTTCATTTTGCCTCAACTCATCGGTTTGGGATGGCCCCGACAGCCACAGTTAACAAACTCGGTAAAATACCCTGGGCAAGTTAGTTCACCCAACCATCTCATCAATCAACTCCAACAAGTCCAACATCATGAACAACTATCACGACCTGGGATAATCTTCCTCGATCAACAAAAGAATGGTTGATAACCAGGTTCAATTCAATCAATCAAATCACCACTTTCAATTGCTAACCTTCATCAATTTATGCTCAATTTCATTCAACCTAATTAATCCATCAACTCATCAAACTCTTTAGCCTTAACTTCACTTTCTTCAGCTTTAAATCATGAACTTATTCAACATTAAGTACTCTAAATGGATTTGGAATTCAGATCATGATCTCGTCATTTAACATTGATACCTTTTGATTCAAATTCATTACCTTCACCAACTCTTTCTGCCATCTTAGCCAAACTTGATTCTTGGTATTCGAGCTTCTGTTATCTCAATCAACTCCATTATCATCGATCTACTTGGTCAGCTTCTTTCAAAATGCTCTCACTGGTTTACCACAAATTTTTCTGATCTCAAATCATATTCTAATCTCGATTGGACAACTTTTGATTGGTACTTTAGGATCTTTGGTCATTTACGGACAGCAGCCTCGATAACATCTTTTAGCCGACTTGAATTGTTATGACCCACAGCCGACCAATGTCCTTTTTATGGTTCAATGAGCTCGTCCTCCTGGTATAATTACTGATTTCAAACCTCAACCTTTGATTGACCTTCTCAAACCTAACATTTTACCTCACTTACCTTCCCTTAAGTGTTGCTCTAGAATTGCTTGCTCTATCTCTCAAATCTGGTTAGTACTTTCCATTTTCAGTCATTTTTGTCAAGTTAACTCAAATCGATCACAATCTAGTCGCATGGTACCTCTCAAACTACGAAAAACACAATTTTTCAAATCGATTTGTATGTAAAGTTTCCAAGACTCAACCAGTGTTCTTGAATTCAAAAGAACCACTGGCTTGATGTCCTGTACAATGTCCACTTGACATGGTTCTCATCAAGATTCCAAGTGTTCCTGGGTCTCTCTACATTCAGAGAAGATGGTGGTGCATGTAATCCAAGACGAGAACAATATGAAGATCAAATCCATTCTTGTTCTTCAGAGTGATGTTATGATTGACTTGGAGTGTTAGCAATTACATCTGTAAGTGTTTGATGAACATTCAAAATAATGATCCACTGTTTTCTTGCTCACTCAATTAATTCCATCAGTTTCTCAGTATCAATACCGATGAAAGATCTCAACCTACATATCAATCGGTCTGCATTCACATTCACACTCTTGTTAAACTCTTCAAACACGTCTCTAATCTTCACCTGAGGAGCTCTCCACAAAACTTTCTACACAATGAACAGTCTTTGAAATCATCTACTTTCACACCCACACCCGATCATTCCTATGTTCAACCAAAGAACCATGTTTATTCAGTTTAAAAGTAAAAGATTTGGATCTTCATATAATGTAGCTATTATACTTAATATTGTCACACACATCTGATCAAAATTATGATACTGTCAATAAAATGATTTTATTTTGCTTGTTCCAATTGACCGTCTGCTAGCCGCATTTCAAGGCTGGCAGTCATCTCACTGGCTTCTTGTTGAGCCTTTGCACTATCTGTGAGTGGTCTCGAGCAGGTCCCAAACCGGTGCAGACCGGCAGTCAACCCTCTACATCCTGTCTTCAGTCGGCCTGCAGGCTGGCTACAGGCGATATTCGAAAGGCCGTCTGCATACGGTGGGACCAGCGCCTACCTGCAGACGGTCCGTGACTATATAAAAAAAGGCCCGTCTGCAGACGGCCTCCGTCCCCGTCTGCAGATGGGCCGGACCACTCCGTGGTGTAGAAAGTCGTGTCATGGTGGCACTTTTCTTGGGTTTTTCCCCCCCAGATACAGCCCCAATACAGGTGACGCGGAGCGCAGCATAGCTCGAGTGGGCAGTCTGAGGTATTGATCCGGCTTGATCCAAAGCCATCATGTACCGATCTGGTGGCTTTGTTTGTCGGTGTGTGCTCCCCCAGTTCAATGACCCAATGCCTAGCTCAGCTACCCTCAATCCAATCTCAGCCAGCAACACCTCGACCGCCTACCAAACATTGGAACGCCGGTCGGCGTCTCAATGTTTGGTCGCCATTCAAACCACCCACCGCCTGGAAAGAAAAAGAACCATTGGCCAACTTCAACCACCGGCAGGCCGCCCCCAAACACCTATAAAATGACGACCTCCCTCACCCGTTCCCCCTCTAATAAGCCAAAGAACGTCCCAATCAACGTCAAAAAAACAAGCTCGTTTTCAATCACTACTCGCAGCATGGTCAACAACAAGAATTCTCACATACCTTCGTTTGAGTTCACTTCGGTTTTGCATTTCTTTTTCCTCTTCAATCGTGAAAGCCCTCTGACGACATGGATTGATTCCCTTCAGGTCCGATGCCCGAATCGATGGCATATCCCGTACTCTACGGACTCGCACGTATTCACAAGCCCTCATGGGACACAGTGTTGGTGTACCTCGGTAAGTCTGCTATTGTTCGGTCGGACCAACGGAAAGAAACCAGGCTGATGTTACCTGGCTCCCTCAAGGACCGGTGGCGGATCACTGCTTACGTCGCCCGTGAAGGATCCCATCAAACACTCTGTTCACGCGGAATCATTACTTACGCCGAGTTTGATAGCCAAGTGGAATGATGCTCCACCTCCACCCTCTGTCCTCAGCTCACAATCGTCCTCGCTTTCCGCCATCAACCCCCACATAAACCCTTTGATCTTCAACTCGCCTCAATTGACCCCAAACCCTTCACCATCCACTGTCTACTCTACCCTGTCGACCGCTGCTACACCGATCTCCAAAACAAGAGCCTTGAACAAGAGGCCAGCCACTTTGGCTGCCTTGGACACTGCAGAGAGGGATGAAGACGATGGTCAGTCATTTTTCTCTCCATCGCTTTGTCTACTCTATCCAACTTGAAAGCGTGACACTTACCCAATTCTCTTTGTAGAACCTGTTGATTTTTTTGGCAGTGGCTCAGTCGCCAAAGTTGCTCCAACTGGACCTGCGAATGTGACCCACGATGGTCCGGATGAAGCTGAAGGTCCGTATCTTTCCTCTCTATCGGGAATACAGAGGTAGGTCTTCAACTTACCTTTGGTTCATCTGTAGACCTACCTCTAGATTGTTTTGACCCGCACACCACTACCGAAAAAGCCTCAAAATCCATGAGTAACCCAGACGCCGGCGACGTATTCGATTCGACTGGCGAGACAGCTCGTACATTTCAAGTATCATTTAATTTTTGGCAACTTGTAGTCCCCCCCGACGCCGCGCCTTCTAACAGCAAAAAAAGTAAGAAAACACCCGGTGCACGAACTAGTTGGAACAAGGCACCAGTTACCAAGTACGAGAATTACTGCCCCAAGGTCGCCAATAAACTTGTGCTTTTACACCAAAACTTCCCCTTTGTCATATTCAAACTCAAATTATTTCAAACCTGCGACAAAAATCGCCCCTGGGTCTCTGAGGCTCTTAAATCGGCGTGGTATGACCCTGACCAGACCGTGGAGATTCAAGGTTTCATCCACGGGTCACGTCAACATAAGGCCATCAAAATGGCCCTTGAAGATGAAGATTCTTTCAGGGAGTTCATGGGCCTTTGCCAGTCGGTTCCTGCAAGCACGGTCATGGGGTGCAAAATTTTCCACAAAAATCCGAAGCTAACCGCCAACGCTAATCGCAACTTGGAACTCGCGCGCCAAAGGAACACACCTAAGGCTCCTTCGTCGGATTCGGAGGCTCACCCCGAATCGGACGACTCTGTAGGTGTAAGTCACCTTCCTCCTAGTGTTTCACGCACTGCTCGACCAACACTGATATATCCCTTTGGCCTATTAGTCTGGCATTTTATCCCTCGGCGAACGTTATAACAAGAAGTTGTGGACGCGATTCTCCAAAGACTTCAAGGCCGGCGAAAACATTGGCCGACTTATCAATCCCAAAGACCATGGCCTTTGCATGCTTCTCAACACTGCGCGTATTCGCACATGGGCAAATGATTGGGTAAGTCATTATGCTTCTGACATCCTCATTTTTTCGTCTTGAATTTGATACTCATACGTCTCCATCTCTGTTTCACAGGCTGACGATGTACCCGGGGTAGACGAAGTTAACCCGCCGACCAAACGCCCAGAATTTTGTTGGTTTCCTGTTGCTGACTACGAGAAGGAGAAGAACGTTCTTCTTGGCTTATCTGTTACACCTCAGGCCACGCCCACTTCCGGAGCTACTGTAGTCCACCACAACTATTATGGACAACCCTTTCCTTCAGCCGCTTTTCCCTCTCCAACCAATCAGCCCATTCCACCGCTGGGGACTGGCCAGCCTGGACCTCCACCATCTGGACCGACTTATCCACAAACCCCGTCTGAGGCCCTTCGGTTATCCCCGCCCCCAGTGATACCAGAGTTCAAAGCGTTTCTCATCTTCGCGGGCATCAAGGCCAACATGAAGAAGACTCGCGAGATTTTATCTAATGAAGGTATTGACTCGTTTAGAAGGCTTTTGGACCGCTCAACTTACAATTTGGATAGCTTTCGAAGCATGGGAATACCCTTCGCTCACGCCAATGACCTTCACAAGGCTGTTCCAAAGTTTAACCATCATCTCAAATCGCTTTGAGTTTTGCCTCGGTAATCATTGCTCAAAGGTCATGTTCTATGTCTGTTCACGTTACTCAATGGTTCTATGTGTATCAAACATTATCAATGTTTGATCAAGGTTCAGAACTACGGTCTCTCTGGAAATGTTATGTTTTCTTATTCTTTTCCCCTTGGTGCTGTGTTACAATGTGCGATTCAATGTTAGAGTCGATTGTTATGACTCATCCTTTTGTTGGACGCTCTCGGCCCATTTGTGTTTGAGCGTTTTGATGCAATCATGAGTCTTAAGTGATTACCGGTCATTTCACACTTTTATGCCCACAATGACATGTGCCCCTTAACCTTGTGTCCTGTTACGTTTCTGGCCAGACTGCTACCCCAAAAATGTTCACCTCTCTATCGCAGCGGATGATAGAGAAGGAGTAATGAGGGCCCAACTTGTTCACCAATCGATGTAACGAGAACGCGTCTCGTTACATCGATTTCTCGTTCGCACAACTCAAAAGGCATTGATGATAAGATGTAACGAGAACGAGTCTCGTTACATCGATTTCTTGCTCGCACAAGTCACAAGGCATTGATGATTAAAAAACCATTTGTATAAGGTCAAAATTATCGGGGTGAGGTGATTGGAATCAATCAGAGATATTTTTTGAATCAATTGAACATTAAATCAAAACTAACTACAAGCTACTTGCTACTTATCGTTCATCTACAATCGCTAATAGACGTCTAAACCCAATAGCCGCATACAGCATACAATTTGTGCATGAGTGCGCCTGAGAACAAGTCCCATGTGACATCCATGATTACATCCATCTTCTCGTCCGTCGCGGTTTGGATGAGTACTTGGGTACGTCAAAAGTAGGATTTGAGGACACTAAATGCCTTCTCAATCGGATTCAGATCGGGTGAGTAAGGTGGGAGATACAATAATCGGATTCCTCTCTCTGACGCAAGTTCTTCAATACGGCCCCCGTGGTGGATTCTAGCATTGTCCATTACTAAGACGGAGTTGACCTCAGGGTATGGGTTCATCATTGGAAACTATGGGGGTCACCAGTCAATATCATCAAGATGAGAGTCAAAGAAAGGGAAAATGAGCCTACCAAACGATGTTTGAGGAAGCCCTCAAAATCTCGTCGCAGATAACTTCCTTCTTGGCAGTCCAGCGCTAATACACCACCTTTGAAAATAGCTGGTAGAAGAGAAAACCTTTTGCCACCACGGCTCCAAGGTATTCGGGTAGTCCGTTCCCCTCGTCTAGCGCGACCAAACTGCCTGCCAAGATGCCTCTCTTGAACTGAGCACTCGTCTGGATTGGACAAGGTAAAAGTTAGTGATGCAGTCACAATCTGCCAGGCGGAAGGAATGACGGACCTAGGAAAACGAGCATGTTGGGGTTCAACGCTCCAACTGTGTGTAGATACCGCGCTCTCTTCGAAGGGCTCTGGTTAGGGTGCACAGTGCGGGCTTTCTTGAGGGTGAGGTGTAGTCGATCCTTCAGATCGCTCGCAATGGTTTGTAACGAGACCCATTTGCCGGTACGTCGAATAACTGCGTGGCGATACTCGTCCAAGTACAGAGCACGATTACCGGCCAGTAACTCCCACTGAAATCCCTGTCTTCGTCG